AGTGAAGCCTGACATAGGAGAGTCCCCCGTTTTCTTGAGGCCTCAGCTTCCTGTCTGTCAAGGCAGGGAGTCACCCCCACAGTGCCAGTCCTCCGCTGTGAGGATACATTACAGCAGCCAGTAGGTCCGCTGAACAGTGCCAGAACCGGGAGCATCGCCCTAGTGCGGGAGGAAGTTACACACGAACAAATCCTGCGCTCTACCCTCCGTGAGAGCGGGAAGCCTGGGGCAGTTGGGGACGAGCAGCCCCAGCTCCAGGTGTCCCGAAGGTGCTCAGCACCCATGGAAGGCAGCTGAAGAGCCTTCCATCTGTGTACATGCGATTGCTGAGCCACCTGGCAAAGACAAGGTATCCCCGGTCAGCTCCTCTCAGGAGCTCCAAGTCGCTGGCTGTGGAGCCAGCGGGCAGAGGCCAGATCCCTGCGGCTGAATGGGGGAGACTCTGACCCCACTGCTGGGAGAATACTAGGTCTGAGCACAGAGGCCAGTGCAGGTGATCATTAGTATTCATCCAGGGCAGACATGAGCTCAGATGGGAAGCGTTTGTGTGTGATCTGTGAAAGGCACTGGGCCGTAAATTACGAGGAGAAACCAGAAACCAAGAGACCTGCAGGAATCGCCTGGTGCCTGCTCAGTCCGAATCCCCCTCAGCTCCTGCGTGCTTGCTTCGTCCTCTTACAGACAAGCCGGAAGGCTGAAGGCAGTGACGTCAGCACATCTGCTTGTCCAGCTGCATGGAGCAATCCCGAACTCCAGTTGTCGGTCCCCACCCCCGAGGCTCTTCTTTTGCATCTTTGACTGTGGTGGGCCCCTGCATGAAGCTGAGGCTGGCCCTGTCCTCCGGGACCGGGCAGGCGGCAGGAAGAGTCTGGCAGAGCTGATTGGCAGGCTTGTATCTGTAGGCTTTTGAATGAGAAACAAGTGCAGGAATCCAGCCGACAAGCACCCAAGCGTCCACCCCAGAAGTAACGGAGCGTCCCTGTGTCCACTGCTCCAGCTTCAGATGAATTCCAAGTCCAGTGGGTTTCCCTCTGGATCTCCCCACCCCCTCCTCTCTACAGAGACTCCCACTGGCATACATTTAGCATGTTTTCTGCCAATGGAGTTTGGAAGAGTTAAATCTCCTCTCTCAGAGTTGGGAGGTACAGTGGGGCCTAATCTTTCTTCTTGTCTTAAAGATGATGACATTAATGCCTAGAGGGAATGAATAATCCACATTTGTCTCTCTACCCCCTCTCTTTGCACATCTTTATCAAGTTCAGTGTCAAGATGAGAGTGACGGAGACTCTGACCCATTGTGCAATTTATTCAGTGGCTACTGTTGGCCTCTTGTATGCTATGGAGATTTAAAAAGAAAAGAAAAAGGAGAAAGGAGGGAAGAAAGAACGATGTTGTGTGGTTTAATTTCTCTTGCTGGAGAAGTGCTACTTACACACATGAAACAGGAAAGATGAAAGATGGAAGAGAGGAGATTTCTTCTTTATCCTCCTTCCATCTCAAGTTCATTGGCTGGGGGTGTGTATCTGAGACGGTGAGACAGATTCGTAAGAGAAAAAGAAACATGGTTATTAGCATGTGTACACATAGAAGCACTAGGGATGAGGAACCCAAAAGGATGGTTACAACTTGAGCTTTATTTTGCATCTCATCAACAGAACAGTAACCTTTCGAGGGTGACAAGTCACAGGAGGGGAGCTCAGAGTTTCTGGAATAGCACATGGAGGGAAGGGCAGTAGATGGGGGTCAGTGGAAGACAAGGTTTCCTTGGTGAAGTTCATGATGGGCACCCCTCTGGTGCTGTCTCTGATGATCTAGACTTCTCTCTTTACACATTTATGTTCTGCTTTTAGGCAAAGAGGAGTAGGAAGAGAGCTTTTCTTGGATCCGCTGCTTGCCAGTTGTCTTGAACTCCATCAATATCCCAATGTGGCATTTTTTGTAGGGGTGGCATCTTCTGTCACCATGTCATAGACTGGGGCTAGGGGTTGAATTCCATGTGACCAGGGCCAAGGACGGGAGAGACACAGTAATGTGTATCATCTCGAAGGCGGACAAGAGCCCTGACTGGGGTGGTGCAGGAGGTTTTGCAGATGGGGACCAGCTTTTCCGAGGCTGTGCTGGAAGGGTTGCTTTTGAGCGCCTGCTGCGCAATGGAGAGGAGGAAGGAGCGAAAGGTGGCGGCTGTGAGTTGAAGAGGGTGAGGTTATAGACAGGTGCAGGGACAGAGTGTGGAGAGGCTCTGTCCAGCGGCTGAAGTTTTCCTCTGTCAACCTGATAATACCTAATTTTGCAATCATAGTAGCTAGGGAATGGTGATATTTTAGGGAAAGAGACTCCTAGTGGGTGTGCAAATTTGTAAACAGATTTTGGAGGGTACTTTGTCTCAAAGCCTCAAATATGCACGTTCTTTTGGTCCAGGAAATAGTCAAAAAACTCACTGTGGTTATGTATATTATATATTTAAAACTGCTTTAGAATCCTGGTGAACTGTATAGAATGATCATAGCTTAGTAACTAAAAATAGGTACCATGCCAAGTTAAACATACGATTTGTTATTGTTGCTGTTGTTTAAAAAAGTGTATGCTTACAGGAAAAGCATCTTGGAGCTGGTATTATGGCGTAATGGGTTAAGCTGTCACCTGTGATGCCAGCATCCCATATGGGTGCTGGTTCAAGGCCCAGCTGCTCCACTTCCGATCCAGCTACTTGCTAATGCACCTGGTAAAGCAGTGGAAGATGGCCCAAGTATTTGGACCCCTGCACCCACATGGGAGACCTGGATGAAGCTCCTGGCTCCTGGCTTCTGCCTGGCCCAGCCTTGGCTATTGCAGCCTTTGGGAGAGTAAACCAGTGGATTGAAGATCTCTCTCTCTGTCTCTGTCTCTCTCTCTCCCCCTCCCCCTCCCCCTCCCCCTCCCTCTCCCTCTCCCTCTCTGTAACTCTACCTGTCAAATAAATAAAATAAATCTTAAAAAAACACATTTTTAAAAAATAAAAAGTCTGGGGAAAAATATGCCTGAAAGTCAACAATTTTTGTCTCTGGAAGGTAGAATTATCTCAAATTTCTATTCTTTCTGCTTCTCTATATTTTCTGAAATTCCTTTCAATGAACATATTTGCTTTTGGAATAAGGATGAAAATTATAAAAATTGCAAACCATAATGATTATGGATTTATTTAAAGAATCTAAAATCTCATTGAATCTAAAGATTGTTGACATTATTTTCATTTATAAAAAAATTATTTTTGCTTGTTTTAGGACCTGTGGAATACTATTACCATCACCAAAATCCCCAAAAGATTATGTGATTAAGAAAAGACACATATTCTTAAACTGCCAAGAAGTAAAGAGTAACGTATAAGGCCTCAGAACCTAAACAAAGTAAAGATTTAAATTCTGAGTAACCTCTATTAAGAAAACCTTGCTGAGACAGGTGTTTAGTGTACTGCAGGTGGTTAAGACACTGGACATGGCTGTTCCACTTCTGATCCAGCTCTCTGCTCTGACCTGGGAAAGCAGTGGAGAATGGCCCCAGTACTTGGGCCCCTGCACCTGCAGGGGAAACCAGGGGGAAACTCCTGGCTCCTGGCTTCAGATCAGCCCAACTCTGGCCATTGCAGCCATTTGGGGAGTGAAGCAGTGGATGGAGAACCTTTCTCCTTCTCTGTCTCTCTCTCTGCCTCTGCCTCTCTGTAACTCTACCTTTTAAGCACATAAATATGGGGCCGGCACTGTGGTGCAGTGGGTTAACGCCTTGGCCTGAAGCGCCGGCATCCCATATGGGTACCGGTTCTAGTCCCAGCTGCTCCTCTTCCAGTCTAGCTCTCTGCTATGGCCTGGGAAAGCAGTGGAGGATAGCCCAAGTCCTTGGGCCCCTGGACCCACGTGGGAGACCAGGAAGAAACTCCTGGCTCCTGGCTTCTGGCTTCGGATCGGCGAAGCTCTGGCCATTGTGGCTATCTGGGGAGTGAACCATCAGACAGAAGACTTCTTTCTCTCTGCCTCTCCTCTCTCTGTGTAACTCTGACTTTCAAATTAATAAATCTTTAAAAAAATACGTAAATAAAAAATCTTAAAAAAAAGACTGGGGACACCCTCATTCCCATATCAAAATGCCTGGGTTCAGGTCTTGCCTCTGTTCTTGATTCGAGCTTCCTGTTAAGGCCAACGCTAGGTCCCTACCACTTATGTGGGAGACCCGGAATGTTTTTCCAGTTCCCGGTTTTGCCTGGCAGAGCCCTGGCTTTTGTGGGCATTTGGAGAGTGAACAGGTAGACGGGAGAGAGCTCTCTGCTTCTCAAATTAGAAAAGAAAAGGAAAACAAAACAAAAGAGGGAAGGGAAAGGAAGGAGCGGGAAGGGGAGGAGAGGGCAGGGCAGGGCAGGGAGTTCCTTAGGTAGCAAACACTTCTCAGAACTTCTTGGAAGCCAAGCCTCTTCAGCCTTTGGCACTGGCTGGCATCTGGGTAATGAGAAGGGCAGGCAGGGGCGTGTCCGGCTGAGACTTGTGTATGCAGTCCAATAGATGGCAGGAGTTGTTCCTGGTTTTATTTTACCTGCTTTATTGTCCCACAATCCCCCAAGTCTTAAAACTGATTAGGCTCACGGCAGATGTTTTGGAATATATTGTTAAGTTCTCCAGTGTTAAGAAATGGAAAGAAAAGGGCCATGGACAAAAAAAAAGTAAAGAAATTAGTGATTGTTTCCCCTCCTCATAGCAGTGACTAAGAAGAGAATGAAGACAAAGGGCTCCCAAGGTCACACCTCTCGCACCCTGTGTGCAGGTCTCCACCTGGGTGTTCAGGAATGCGTGATACAGAGGGGAAGGTGTTATTTCCTGAGCTTTGACTTGAAATAGTTCCTTCCAGGGACTTGGGGAGATGCAGGAAAGCTGAACTTTTCCTTAAATGTTCTACAAAGCAAGGTAGCTTTTTAAACTCGGTATTTTTATAAACAAAAATGTGACTTTGTGTGTGTGTGTGTGTGTGTGTGTGTGTAGGTCAGTGTCCCTGGAGTTCCGGACGAGGAGAAGGAACCTTCAGAGCCTACATGGGCAGATGGCTTGGTTGCCACTACTTCACTGGAGGCCGCCACCCGCCACGGGCCATTGCTCAGCCCTGATCTGCATGGGGCAGAGGCTGTGGAGACCAGAACTCCAAGCCCTACACTGATTTTACAGCCAGGAAGTCTGGTGCACAAAGGTAAGAGATACCTGCTAATCAGCTGCTGTGGCTACAAAGTGAGGAAAGCAGAAGAAGGGTGGTCTCTAGAATGTCACCCAGAGAGAAAATACTGTAACTCCAAATAGGAGAGGAAGAAGATTCTTCCCCTGCTGGATTGTATACAGAATTTGGAAACTGGATAGCTGGGCAATAAGTATGGTCTTTAGAAATTTTTGAAGCTCTTAAGGTATTTATTATTATTTTAATATAAATGCCCTTAGGGTTGTGTTCTCTTGTTTGCCATGGACCCTACTGCTCCCTATTGTCTCACCTGTACTCTTTTACACTTGTAGACATTTGCGTTTTTGATTCCTTGATTAAACAAAAAAGAGAAAAGAAAAAAAAAGCCAAAACCTAAATTCTGACCCATCAGCCTATTTTTATGGAGTTAATATCTACAGAAAACCTGTTCTCAAGTGTGTATTTTCTATAGAACACACGGAAGATACAATATCCTTGCTCAAAGGAAGCTTAGATAGTCTTGAAGACATTTACACGGAATGCAGTGTTTGGTTTGAGTAACAGATATACTGCAGATCCGCTGCTTTCCACTTGGTGCAAGGAGTCTTCACCGGAGAGGGAGATTTAGATGTTCGTTTTAGAAAAGAAATGAACCAAGACAGTCTCCAAATCTGGGCAAGTGACTGAAGGCAATGGAGAGAGGGCTGGCTTTGCTGTAGAGAGAAGCAGCTTTTGACATTTAAACCTTCTCTCAGAATTCAAGAACCAGAGAGCCATTGCCTACTTGGCCTTCTCTTTGGGCTTCTCCCACCCACGAACGACGTCCCCAAGTAGGAAACCCCACAATGAAAGGGATCCACCCACTGGGGAGCTCTGGTTGGATGGCCGCCTCCGTATGGGTGGCTTCCTTGTTTGGGCCCTGCGGTGCTTTCGTGCAGTTGGTGCATTTCTGAAATTCATCTGTGAACTGACATTTGGAAGTCCTATCACGTTTTTCAGTTGTTGGAAGAGCTGCTCTTTGAAAAAGAGAATTGGGATTAAAGAGAACCCCGTTTGGCTTCTTTTGAAACAAAGAATGTTCGTTTTTTCAGTAGGCACAACGACACGTGATATGAGTGATGTTCTCTGTGAACAAACTGGGAGGAAATGTGCACAGAGGCTGAAGTCATTCCATCCCAAATATTCATTTACTTTTAGAGCAAATCCAAAGTAAACGAAAGGAGTCCCATCTTTTCCCGTGGACACATCTCCATGAAACTGTTAGCCCGTGAACTCACACCCGTGCTCTCAGGGAAATGGGCATTTCAGGGATGTTTCGAGAAGATCAAAACCTTTTCTGTTTCTAAGGTGCTGACCGTCTAGTGGTGGAGTTTCTGGTGGTGAAGGTCTATTTCCGGCATTCGCCAACTCTTCTTTGGCTAGCTTGAAGCCATGCTTTCTCAATTAGTCTGTTAGTGTGCACGGAGGATAAATATTTTAATAACTCTATAAAGCTCTTATTCTTTTAATTCTTTGGTTCAAACCCCAATTCTAACACAGGATCCTTTTCACTCTGCAGATCCCAGGTGTGGGGAGGCCCTGCAGCCTGGCACCTGTAGGGACTACGTGGTCCGCTGGTACTATGACAAGCAGGTCAACTCTTGCGCCCGCTTTTGGTTCAGTGGCTGCAACGGCTCGGGAAACAAATTCAACAGTGAAAAGGAATGCCAAGAGATCTGCATTCAGGACTGAGCAAGGGAATCGTCTCCATCAAGAGCCTAGAAAGAGCCTCTGTAACGTCACCGTACTCACCCAGTACAAATAAAGGACCGCCTTCCAGCGTGTGCTGAGTGTTTACAGCTTGGGAACACGAGCCAACCCTCGCAGCAGCCTAGGGTGCAGGATTCTCAGGCACACATGCGGATGAGGACCCTGAGACTCTGCGAGGTCTGGTAACCGGACACCCCAATAACGATGGCAGAGCAGGGGATGTGCACTTGGGGCTGTGTAATTTTGATGCCCATCTGCTTCCCAGCAGGCATTGCAGTTTGGATGCCTGTGAATTCCTGTTGCACGAATTATCTCAGATTAAATCTCCAACCCCGCCCACACCCACCCCCTTCCCTCCCCCAGCTCTGCTAGTAGGGAAAGGTAGGTGGTGACGGAAGATCACTGGCTGGGACACGAGAAGTGATGGGAACAGGTTTGTGTAGGCGTGCTGGGCAGGGGTTGGAATGAGGAAGCTGGTTCCAGTTTTGTCACACATGCCTTGAAAATGGTAACAGAAACCAATCTGAGTTAAAATTACTTAACACCAATGATCACAGCCCATTCCTCTGACATATTTTTATAACAAAGATTTATTGGGTGTTTGAACTATGTATTTAAACAAAGGAGCATTTCACCTGCTTCCTTTCAGTTTTATGGGGGTAGAATGAGAAGGCATTTGGCAGGCATGATCCACCTGGAGCTCACATCTAGTCTTTAAAAAAAATTATGTATTTATTTGAGAGGCAGAAACACAGATGTCAGGTCAAAGCCAGGAACTCAATGCAGGTCTCTCACAGGGCTGGCAGGCACCCAAGTACTTGAACTATCACTGCTGCCTCCCAGGGTGCACAGTAGCAGGAAGCGAGAGTCAGAATCCAGAGCTGGGAGTTGGACCAAGGCACCCCAATTCACCACACAAGTATCTTAACCACTAGGCCCGCCCAATGCCCACCCCTTGTATCTGCTTTTGAGAAGGGCTTTTCAAAGATAGGATTCACACTGAAAAATGAGCCACCAAATTAAAATGTAAGTAATGGAGAGTTAGAATTGGCTCTGTCGTTTTGTGAAAGTTTTGTGAGGTTGAGTCTGGGGAGACCATGCCTTCTGAGCTGAGCTCAGAGAGCGTTTGTGTGGATTATCTCACGACACAGCTCTTCTCAGACCTGTGACCTTCCTTCCAGTTCAACAGTCCAAAAAAGAGCCATCATAGCAACACTAATATTAGTTTGAGGGACTTAAATAATAATTGACAAAAGAATACAGGCAACACACTTGTAAGTTACAAACACACCAGTGAGGTGAACACCAGTAAACACTTGGAGAATGAACCAAATATTCACAATGCTATTGAGGCCACCTGGCTGCCCTCTGCTATCCCAGCTGTCTGTTCCGTGCCAGGGGTATCGCATCTTGAACTTCAGTGTGTACGCTGTCAGTTCACAGCTAGTGTGTTCTGTGTATCTCCAAACAATGCCTTTTCAGTCTTGCGGACTTTAGAGCTTTCTCAAAGTGGTGCCATGTGCCAGCCTGCTGCAATTGCTGTGTCAGTCAACGAGATAATTGATCCATGTGTCTTATCATATATAAAATGCATGCCTAAATAATTTAGTGTTTTAAACTTTAGAACATTTGTATCATAATATATGATTCTCCCAGCCTGCCAGGTTATCATAATCCACATATTCATTTACTTCCACAGTTATGTAGTATCTTTGAGAATACAGCACAATCTATTTAACCATTATCGTCTCTCTGATCAATTTAATTGCTTCTATTTCAGATTTTTCACTGTTCCACCAATGTTGCTATCAATGCTTTTATTTATGTCTCTGGGTGCAAATATGCCGGTGTTTTTCTAGGGTATAGGCTCCAGAGTAGAATTGCTAAATTTCAAGGTATGTAAATGTTCAAAACCAGTAAATCATATCAAATTTTTTGATGTGTTTGTGTCAAATTATTATAAATTTTCACCAGTCAATTGAGAGATTTTCCATTGCTTGATAACTTTTTCAGCACTTGGTGTTGTCAGATTTCTTAATTTTGTTGATATAGATGTAAAATGGCGTTTTATTTTAATTTTTCATTTCTCTGATAGCAGTCCTACTAAATGTGTTTACTGTGTGTGCTGCTGCTGCTGCTTTTAAATGCCTGAATACAACTGGAGAGGACTTTTTTCTATTGAGTTGTCTTTTATTGAATTCTTAGAGTTCTCGTGTATTCGGAGAGTACGTTCTTTGCTTACTATTCATGTTGCTAACATCTTTGTAACTTGTCTTTTTGCCTTTTGTTTTAATGAATGGAAGTTCTTAATTTTTAAAAAAGTTCATGGAATATTCACCTATCTTTTTGAAGAATTATTCAGTTGAGAGTCAGAGAAACAGACGGTGGTAGGGAGGAGAGAGAGGAGAGGAGGGGAGGAATACAAATATCACCCCTAATTCAGTCCCCAAATGCCTGGAACATCTGGAGCTAGGACAGAAACTCATTTCAGGTGTCCAGTGGGTAGCGGAGGCCCCGTAACCTGAGCCTTCACCATGGCCTCCCAGAGTCTGCATTAGCAGGAAGCTGGAGTCCAGTGCCAGGACTGGTAACCGAGTGCAGATGCTCCGATGCGGACACGGGCACCAGAATCACTAGGCTAACTGCCTGTTCCTGAAAGGCTTACTTTAAATGCAGTCAAGTCTGCCCGTCTTTACCACTAAAGTGGGCCTGGGCTGAGGGCAGGGAGCATGTGTGTTTGTAAACAGCCGTGGGCGATTCTGCTCGGAAACACCAGGGCTACGTCTGAATCATACTGATCTTGGGAGAGGTCTAACAGCTCACTTGCTTTGTTAAGTGACAAGCTGTTCCTGTGCTTTCCCCCCGGTCTGTAATTCAGTGTCTTTAGTGAATAGCAATGCAAAGATAGAGTCATGTTCGTGTGTCCAAAATCTTTTCCCCTCCTTATTAGTATCTCTAAGTCAACTGTCATTAAAAGTATGATGTTTTAGAATAAACTGGAAATGTTCGAGTGACTGCTAAAACAAGAATAGCTCCAAATTATTTCACATATATATTTATGACATTTTCATCTTTAATTTTTTTAAAACCTCAGGCTGATTTTATTTCTAAAAGTAGTCATTTTATATAAATTGGTAATCTTTGAAAATATCCTTCCAATTAAATTAATTTAAGGTCATATTTGGCACTAAAAATTAGGAATTTTTAAACCCCGTTTTAATCAAATTAAGAAAATATGGTCTTAGGCCAGTATTGTGGTGCAGTGGGTTAACCCAGGGCCTGTGATGCCAGCATCTCATATGAGAGCTAGTTTGAGTCCCGGCTACTCCACCTTTGATCCAGCTCCCTGCTAATGTGCTGGGAAGGCAGTGGAAGATGGCCCAAGTACGTGGTTCTTCTGCTACCCACATAGGAGACAGATGGAATTCCAGGCTCCTGGGTTTGGCCTGGCCTAGTCTTGGCTGTTGTGTCCATCTGGGGAGGAAACCAGTGGATGGAAGATCTGTCTCTATCTGTGCCTCTGTGACTCTACCTTTCAAATAGGCAAATCAATCTTTACAAAAAGAAGGAGAAATGAAAACATGAGCTGTGAAGGGTGTCGTAGAGCAGTGGCCAAGCTGCCACTCAGGATGCCTGCACCCCTATTCAAGTGCCTGGGACTGAGTCCCAGCGTCCTCATCCAATCCGGATTCCTGATAATGCACCTGGGAGAGACCAGGTAATGGTCCAAGTACTTGGGATTGTGCCGCCGACCACACACACACACACACACAACGTGGGAGACCCTGGTGGAATGCCTGGCTATTAGTTTCAGCCTGGCCTAGCTCTGGCTGTACTAGGCATTTGTAGAGTGAACCAGCAGGTAAAAGATTCTGTGTGTGTGTGTGTGTGTATCCCCTCCAGCCCCTGATGCCCTGTCTTTCAAATAAATAAAACTTTTTTTTAAAAAAAAGGAAGAAGAGTTTTTCTAGAGAAAATTGACTTTAAAATTAATTAGTTAATACTTTTAAAACAGAAAACATGGGCTCTTAGAAGCAACAAGAATCTTTCGAGCCTTCTAGTCCTGTGTGGCTACTGCTTTTCACCTTCGGACAAGCACCCTAAGAGGTGGGACATTCCTGGGGTTTCTGGTGAGCCATTGTCTCCTCCTGAGGCTGCGCCTTCTTAGATAATACTGACTCCCACTGCGAGAGCTGGAGCTGGGGGTCTCCTGTGCCTTCTGCTTTGACGCTTACAAACTCCTGCTCTGACCTTGTGGAGCTGTGCCCAGTGACTGTGTTACTCAGGACAGCCATCATGTCTTCTCCACTCTACAGCTTCTCCTATCTCCATGGCTTTTTGACCATCCTTCCCTCCGATTCTGTACGTGCCCTCCCGTTTGTAAGTATGCTCTTGCGACGGGAATCGGAAAAGGAGCAAACCTACACATCACATCTCTTGTTCTACAAATGCTGTTCCTGTGCTCTTCCTTCAAGGGGGCTGTGGCATAAATGGAAAACATAGGTAAGCTTCTCTCCATCTCAGAAGCAGAAAGAACCAGAGGAGTTGCTTCCTAGGATCCTAAACAGCAATTTGGGACTTAGGGATTACAAAAACAGCAAAGCAAAGTACTTCTCTCCCCATCTCTTTTTGAAATTGATCGGAGCCTTCATTTTATTTTTCCCATCCTTCAAATCTGCTCTTGAACACCATGCTGTTTCTGGACATTATCTTTAAACATAATGGCATTCTCCAGTTATTTCTACCTTGGCACGTCAGTGGGTGTTAGGTTGAATCTGTCATTCAGCCATCTTTCCTCTCTTGCATCTTGATGAGGAGGGCTATGATTTGCCGGTGTTTGCAACTTGGGATTTTTCTCAGACTGATTTTCTGACAAATAAATCACTGCTTAGACTTACCTTTAGCTGTGTGAGAAAACAGATGGACATATGCATGCTGGGAAACAAAACAAAGGCAAATCTTGCCTTTATGTAGTCATCTCACCTCTAAACGCCTAAGATATAAATATTGAATTGGCACAGATTCTATGGTGTGTTACATGCTTTGTTATTGGAAAAATATTGACAAATGTAGT